AAGGATCTCCATTGCTGTCGAAAGCTTGCACATCAAGTTTAGGTAGTTTCACTCCTTACTGTCAGAGGATGTGGTGGGAGAGTCAGACTTGTGTGACGACATGAGCAGTAGCTTCTTGACTTGAAGTGATGTATCCAAGATTTCTCCCTCCAGGCTGGCTTGTAACATGGAGAGCTCATCCGTTTCTTTCAGGTCAACAGACATGATCGTGGGCAAGTTCCTACTTGCAGTCAGCAAGTTCTTCCTTGTACTGACGTAGGAGGGAGATGTCAACAGGTTTCTCCCCGGAGGACGTGATGGCTGTTCAAACGGAGGACAGGGCCTTCTTCAGGTGTGAGAGTCGTCGAGATGCTATCTTACAAGTGGGCGAGTCAGACACAGGCGTACAGGCATTGATGAACCGCTTTATGCGCGCAGAGAGATCAGCGACAAAATTGTCGTGGTCGTCCAGTATGTTTTGCTCCGTCGAAAGGGCCTCTTCATCGTCTATGAGGTGAATGAGGGCGTGGTGAAGGGTCCTGAACTCCGAATCCAGTGCATCCAGCTTACGTGTCATTCCCTGCGCTAGCTCCAATGTCGCAGGTTTGTCCGTGTCATTCTCCAGATCTTTGAATCGATTCGTTAGACGAGTGATGGAGGTGCGGACGACGCCTCTCCGCTTTCGAAGGGTGGCTGCGTTGCTCATAGTCGACAGGCGGCTCGAGCTGACAAAGGCGAGAGGTACCACGTGGCAATCGCGGTAGCGCTATGATGAAACGAGTAGACTCTCGAGAAAGAACCATCCAAGATTCGCTGGTTCGACTTCTATCCGGCTCGAAGGACCATAAATATTTGAGCTCTTTCTCGATGGAGACGGATAAAACGAGCACTACTCACGACCAGAATGGTCCACCATTTCTCAACGTTTTTCTCAACTGACTCTAATTTTACGTACAATGAAATATTGAAATGATACGAAATGCATGACATAACAGAGGTATTATACCACATCAAGGTACACAGCAACGTACACAGCAACACACCCATTGGTTTTTGAGCCACAGCAATCACATGACTTACACATGCAAAATACAGATATTTCCGTTTACTTCAGAAGGAACTGCTGGAGGGTGATGACAGGAAGACACACTACTAACATTACATACCCGTTTGTCATTGTCAGGAACACCAAGTTCAGCCCAGACTTATTGTTTTGCCATTTTCAAGTGCCTTTTTAAGTGCACAAAGGTAGATGGCAAGAGTGACTTTGCCGATTTCTTGACAGCTCTGCTGTGTGTAATGTCTGTGCACACTGGGAGTGCTAATATTGTGCCAACACAAGAATACCCGACATACTTCCTCCCCCACTTTCACAAGATATCCAATAACAAAAAGTACCATCATTTCCGAATTTCCTTTACGTCTCCAGGGACTGAGAGAATGCTGACACAGCAGAAGTCCTACTGTCAAGATTCCAGGCTTCCACCTCACATGGAGCTGAAGGGCCTGTCTGATGAGCGGCAGTGGAACTTGTATGAGCCAATGTGCTCGGACGAGCATCTATATGCCATCACTCTTAAACCCATTAATCTCAAACCCAAAAAGAAGGGGTAGGGTACACTCTCTAGAGGTCCTCGGCAATGAGTTCAGTTCAGTTGGTAGAGCGCTCGCCTAGACTGCAGTGTCGTGGGTTCAAATGCCACCCTGGGCAGCTCTGCCCTGGGTGTAGTTGACTTCTTTGCCTTGCCTTTCTACCTTGTTACCAAGTTGTCGGAATGTCAGACTTATTGATGCAGAGCAGGGGGCCAAGGGGTCATACATGTGAGTCAGGCAGAGGTCAGGGCGGTAAGTGTGGGACGGCTGTTTCAATTCCGTAGAACGCGTACCAACTTAGTGACGTCACGGAATCATTACGTAATCATAAAATTTCCGTAGCAACGGGGCGTTGGCAACGGCCCTATGCCTTTTTCACGGCGCTTTGCGCACCGAGGATTAGTGGGCGGAGTTTTTACGCAAAACCACGTTGACCCTTGGAGAAGACGCTACGAGTAGATACGTTTTTCGTGGCCCATGGTCGCTTCTCGACAGCGGCGCAGGCAGCAGAATGAACAGCTATCAAGCCTGAAAAGTTGTCTTCTACCGGATCGCCAGCAATTTTGAGAGAAAGTCTGATTGAAAAGGCAGAAGGGAAAAGCGTTAGACAACCGGTTTGTATACTGTATGCGACGGCAAGCATCCTTGCGAAGGCGGTATTCTTGGTCATAATCTGGCCATATATTGATGTGTACGTGTATAATGACGGCCTATACAAGAAACAGTGGGATGCTACCGCTTTGTCCCCCTGTCCTTCCACCTTGCCTTCCACCGTCCCGTGGTGCTCTAGGAACAGTCAGAGCTGTCTCTCCAAGAAGAACAGTGTCATGAGCATTCTTCAAGTAGGTTGTGTACAGTTAACTGACTCATCTCTATCTTCCACAACCTGTATTTTTCAGATTCCTTTTTGCAGCTGACTTTCAAACTACTTTTAGTCTTCAGCTCCAGCTTTGTGTAGTATGTTTGTTTATAATGTGTGTGCTCTATGTCTCTGTCTAGTACTGCACAGTGTATGGTGGTACTTTATTCCTTCGTCGACACACATCGATATTGCACAGTATGTGGTACTTCATTCCTTCGTCGACAAACATCCACGCTGAGTTCCAGGAATGTAGGTTTGCTGCTGAACTTCATGTTCAGCATCTTCTGAACTAATAGTCACAGAATGTATATTGCAAGTTGTTCTGTTATACCCAATGTTTCACTTTACACTTTGTATCATGGGCGACATGGGCTCACGTCATGGTTTCTGTAGCTATCCATGTCAATGACTATTTTGAAATCACTACAGATGTTTTACAGTGTTCCTTTCTATCTCCTCTTGAGCCAGAAGCGTAACAAAGCGCTGGGCAGGGGATACCAGGCTCTTTCTAACGGTATTCATGCCATAGTATGGGGGTTACAAACGCTCCAGTAGCCCCCGATGTCGCGTGCTTGCCGAGTTCTGACAGGCTTATTCAACTTCCTACAAGACCGAAGCACTTCTCCAGGCGTGTTTCTGGCTTATAAAAAATGCCTCGCCGGTGGTGCAGGGCTACGAACACGAACCTGTTTTTTTGTATACGCTTGTACTTCCGATGCGCAGTACAAAACGAAGCCGGCTCTCGCCAGTGCGAAGTTGTTGCAGGTATCCACAAGGGTTATACTCTGTATATGGGCGAAGGAAGCGCTTTGGCTGTCGCTTCTTTCCCAGTAGAGGCGGCAGCAACCAAGCGCTGACTCGGGAGGTTTCATGTAGGGGGCGGTTACGCACTAAGCGCGATGATTTCCATATGCGCGCTTAAACTAAGTGAGCGCGTGAAACAGCCGTGGGACCAGCAAAAGTACAAACCTTCGGCAAACTGCGCATGCGCGATACCGCTAATTGATAGGCTGCGCTATTTGTACTATCGTGGTCTCCCGCTAGTACCTCTCGGAGAGTCTGACACGGGCTAGCTAGTAGATAGTAGTAGATAGAATGCATGAGTCGATACATGCCATTCGTTGTGACTTCCTGAGCCCCCAAGGTACACAGAGAGAGTGGATCAGGTCACGGTAAGCCCAGTGTGATTATGCATATTAGCTTTTTCGCTTGTTTTCAAGGCATATCCCGCGCGAACGCAGTCGTTTCAGAAAAAACGCCCTTTTATTTTTCAGGCTTGCGTAGTTCTGAAGCCGCTGGTATTGCTAATAGGCCGCCTCGTAGCCTGTAGGGCAAGCGTCGACACACACACAGACAGACAAACCAACTACTGTGACCCTCGCTGCGCATGCGCGCATAGGGTTAAAAACTACTGCGTAACAATATTATAGACGCATTCTTGGTGAGCGGGAGCTGCCTGGTAGTGAGCATGTACAGGGAGCATTATAGCTTGGTCCTCCGTTGCATGTGATGCTGCATGCCATGCCCACAAAGTTGCAAGAAAGACGTGTTTTCCACCCCATGGGTGCTTGAGATGCTACCTCCTGCTAGTCACCACTCCCTTGGGCCGAGAGGGGCGTGTTTCCCGCTCATCGGCTCTTTCTGATGTGAGACGGCCCCTGCGAGCTCTGTTTCGTGGTAGTTGCTGCACTCTTGCGCAAAGAAAGGAGCTCTTCGGCTGTTTCTGAAGCTAAACACTGCCTCTGTTTTGTACTAGTTGCCCTCCCTTGCGCAGAGAAAGGCATGTTTCCCGCTCCTCACCTGTTCTCCTGCCAGACTACCGTAGAATGTAAAATTAAACCCGCTTGCTGGCTTTCAGTTATTTAATCACGTAAAAGATTTTGGTATGCGTGGCATCGCCAGATAGAAAGAAAAAATTGAGAAAATCGGCCCGTTGACACGACTATGTTGGCTTGCTCCCGCTCGTCAATAAAGTTGTGCTAAACCTCATCGTATTATGTTGCTCATGTGATTCCATAGTAAAATTGGGGATCATGTTGATGACGTGTTTGGTTGGTGTCAAATATCATAATTATACCACAATTGGTACAATTTCACATCAAATGTTTTTGTGGAGCAGTGAAAGTACTTCACTCTATACATAGTGATTACCATTCAGTGACAGCAGAGTATTATTGGCAGGCAGGAGAAAGCCTATAACTGAACCTTAAGTCAAGTGCCGCAACCCAGCCTTTTTTGTGAAAACTTTAGTGCAGGCATAGGAGGAGAATGTATGGTTACACACAACAAGGATTGGTGTCAGTTCTCTCGAAAACAATGTAGTCCCTATTGCTGACCTAGATCGGGCAAGCAATGGTACACATGCCTAAACAAAGCTGTGGTGCAGCTTATGAGGTCATTGCGCTTCTTGTCATATGAATGAAAGACAAATTACATTACATTAAATCCGCCCTTCTGAACACCTACATTGGTTCACTCCAACTTGCTAAAACACAACTAGACTAGCAAATATTGTCACCACTGTCAACATAAATGTCTGCAAATGTAAAACAATACTAAATAATACCTCGTGGGTAACAGAATGGTTGAACACGATGTAATGCTTGCCAGGTGTGACTCTCCAAGACCTTTGGTTGACATAGTCCCTGTTCTTCAGCGGTGCTGGGCATTTCACTAAAAATGTTTGGAAAATAATTAGCAGCGTGTTTCATACACACAATACTTTGAGCGACTACATGCAGCTTCAACGACCAGACAGCACTGCAATGGTGAAATAATTTATTGTTCTACACGTTGCGCATTGCGCTCAGTTGAATACGTACAAGTCAATAAAAATTCTTTCAATTAAAAAAGTGTGAAATATGTGGATGCCATAAAAAGCAAGGAGACAAGACAGGGATGACCTAGTGAACATGATGCAGTAGTACAGTGGATGATGGCTACATACTTCCAACTGACATCGCTTGCTCGTGTAAAATTTCTTCCAAGCCCTATATTGTGCCCACCTTTACTGTTTGTTTAGTGAAGTGCGAGAACAATGGTGAATGGATTCTGTGTGTAGATGGCAGCATTGTAAAACTGGTCAGTTGAGCAAATGTAGAAATCTTAGACTTCACACAATGCAGTCACAACTGAAAACCGAGTAAATGGTATTACCTGTCGAACGTGCTATCCTAGCTGTGCATCACACAAGGAGCACACTCGTACTTCGCGACAATATAGGGCTTGTGTGGAGAAAATGTTACACGAGCAAGCTATGTCAGTTCAAAGTATGCAGCCATCATCCATTGTACTATTGCATCATGTTCACTAGGTCATCCCTGTCGTGTCTCCTTGCTTTTTATGGCATCCTTATATTCCACACTTTTTTAGAATGTTTTTATTTACTTGTCTCCTTTCCGTTTTTACTGCATTCACATGCAATGGTGTGCAATAAAAAGTTGGGCATAAGCCATAAAAAAAGTAATATTAGTGGCCTTAAGCTATCGCCTCAGGCGTTTTGTCGTCATTCACATTACATCAGTGCACCAAGTTTCATTGTGAGAGGACCCATCATAAGAGTAATAGGCACCGACACCATTTAAAAGTATTTTTGCCTGAGGCTGTTTGTTGTTGTTTACAACCTTGTAATTTCGGTTTCGATGAACTCTTTATCATGGTACATCAGTGTACCAAGTTTCATTGTTAGAGGACATACCACTAGTAATTTAGAGGCAAAAACACCATTTACAAGTTGCTTTTTCCTGAGGCTGTTTGTTGTTGTTTACAAGCTTGCCATTTCTGTTTCGATGAACTCTCATCATGGTACATCAGTGTATCAAATTTCATTGTTAGTAGACCAACCGTTAGGAAATTAGAGGCACAAACGTGTTTATTGCCTGAGGCTGTTTGTTGTTAACCCTCGGCGCGCATGCGCAGCGAGGGTTACGGTAGTTGTCCTGTGTGTCTGTCTGTTACCTCAATCTCACTTCTCGGGTGTTTGTTCGTCTCACAAAAGGATACGACCTATTTAACGGGCAATGAAAGGCAGAATATTTGTGCGGTTTTCTCTCAAAGCTAGAGCGCGAAAAAGCTAATATGCAAATACGCAACGGACGGGATGGCTTACCGCGGTCGTGCTCTGCGTACTTCGGAGGCACCAGAAGATACAACGCATGTCGTGTATCGCCTCTCGCATGCTATCTAGTAGTGTAGTTAGCCCGCGTCAGACTCTGCGCGAGCTGGCCAGAGACCATGAGTAAAAGCTAAAACTAAACCCAGCCCATCAATTAGTGGTACGGCGCATGCGTTTACTTACGCGTGCGCGTCAGTGTGCGCCGAGGGTTTGCACTTCAGTGCTTTTCATTTAATGACCTGCTTTCCTAGTAAAAAGTCATAGTTAGTGGTGCTATTAGAATAGATAAGGTTTGGATAAGCCTGATAGGGGGTTTACATTGAAGGGCATACATTAACAACACTTCTGAAGGCGAACTTTGCAATTTGCAAGGTAGGTACGTGCTACAGCTACGATGGTATAACTGGGAAAGAGAGGCCAAGCTACGGACCTACATGTCTAGCTGTGTAGCAACCCCCAGTTAAGAGTAGAAACGAGACGCCTACTTAGACATCAGAACCTCTTGTACTTTCATATCCCCCTGCAAGACAGGCAAAAACTTATTAGTGTGGGATCATGCAGGGTTTATCTGGCGTGTAGTCCACAGATGGTCGGTGTCAGTCAGAGTACATGTTTGTCACACTTCGTGTACAATAACTGCATTGCACATTGTCTGTTATAAGAACTGCGATAAAATACCGTCTAGATTGTAACCGAGAGAGTCCTCATTCCATTAATCCCAAATCTCTGTCAGACTTCGTCTTTACCGTGCAAGCAGAGTCTGTACGCATGATCACACTGGACTAGAAGTGCTACAATTGGTGTCATAAGTGGGATCTTGTGCGGAATCTCGGGATGACTACAACGAGAACTCAAGCAGTCAACCAAAAGCTGCCGCAATTGTGGCGATGCTTGAATCACAACAGGGAACACAAGAACTGTTGGCAGTGCCGCACGAACCAGCGAACTCTCGGAGCAGCAGCAGAAAAGCCAGGAGCAGTTAGAGGAGCTGCAACGACTGCGGCGGTATGTGGAAGGGATGGGCGAGTCACTGGAGACTAGGGTGAATGCGGCCGAGAAGATGCTGGCGGCGACAGTAAAAGTCGAGCTGTGGTGAACACAGGACTCTGACACCCCCAGATTGCGCATATCAGCACCGGAATTGCGACCAAGCAACTCGTACAAGGTGCACTTCGAGATGCTCACCGAACTGAACTCCTGGAGCGATGCAGGTTCCTCGCGATAATCGGCCCTAAGTCTACTCGGCAACCTTCATCCTCGAAGCAGAACAGATTATACGGCCTTGCCAGAAGCACTGGACTCGCGTTCGGAGATGCTCATCAAGTGGAACTCAATCGCACTCGTCTCAGGACTCCCCACCGATGATGCGACGAATGACTCCCAGAACTCGCAGAAGACATGGAAAGACTCGCTCGCCTCGCCTACCCTGTTGCCAACAGGACGATGTTGGAGCTGCTGGCGAAGTATCGATTCATCGACGCGCTGTGGAAAGATGACGTCCGACTTCGTGTTCGTCAGGCCTGATCACCGACGTTACGAGCTGCACTGGAGGCAAGCGTTAGAATTGGAATCCTACGAGCTAGCCAGACAACAAGTAGGGAGACCAGTACGTAAGAAGCGATTTGGAGGAACAAAGTTTACTCAGAAGTCGCAGTCGGGCAACCAGTGAGACCCGGAAGAAAGTTGCTGCAAGAATACAACCGGAGTTGCAAGTCGTGGAGATGCTGGGGTCCGTGGAGGTAGGGGTGGTAAAGGAACTACTGGTGAGAGCAAGCTGTCATCCCAGAAGAGGAGTTCAGAAGTGATATGCTGGAGATACAAGCATGGCCACATCTGAAGGGACTCCCCCCAATCTGCAAGCGGTGGGAAAAAGTCACAACAGGACCAGGGAAACAGCCAGTAGCCAGCCTTAAGGGGTAAAGACCGGCTACTAATCAACAAGCCATCACCATTCAAAGCTGGGTCTGTTCATGGACGTACTCTCACTCTCACTGGGTCTGTACATGGACGTACTCTCACAGGAACTGTTGCTGGTAAATCATGCAAACTACCACTTGAGCAAGACACGGTGCCAGTGAGGGTCCTCAACCCTTCATTGCAGGACTACAGGGTGGCAAAGGGGGCAGACATTTCCAGTTGTGAAGCGTGTTCTCAACACACACAGAAGTCAACAAAGCATCACCGACTGCTGAGAATCTGAAGGTGCGGAAACTGACTAGAGAATCCCTACCAAAACACCTTATGAGCAGCAGCATATAAAACACTTGGAACAAGCACAGCAAAACAAGGCTTGGGACTTAATTACAGGATTCATAGACGTCTTGAATTCAGACGACCTCGGAAGAACTAACTTTGTTCAACACCAGATCAACACGGAAGGAGCAGCTGCAATCAGACAGCCACTGCGTCGACTCCCATTATCCCAACGCGAGGAAGCCAAGAGACAAGTGGAGAAACAGAGCCACTGAATTGTCTGCAAGTCCATGGGCATCACCATTTGTTCTAGTCCAGAAGAAAGATGGAAGTGTTTGATTCTGCGTCGACTACAGGAAAATAAATGCTGTGACGAAGAAAGATTCCTATTCACTGCCACGAATAGATGACAGCCTGGAGACCCTTTCCGATATAGCTGGTTCTCAACTCTGGACCTGAGGATCGGCTATTGGCTAGATCCTGGAAAGAAGAAAAAACAGCCTTATCAACCAGCCAAAGGCTATGGCAGTTTACTGAGCTGGGTTTGTCTGGCCTGTAGTCAACAGATTGTCAGTGTCAGTCAGAGTAAATGTTTATCACACTTCGTGTACAATAACTACAACCCACATTGTCTGTTATGACCCCTGTGATCACTAGTAGCTATAAAAGACTGTAACCGACAGAGTCCTCATTTCATTGATCCCAAATCTCTGTCAGACTGCATCTCCACCGCACAAGCAAGGTCAGTACCCGTGATCGCACTGGACTAGAAGTGCTACATTATAATGTATCTCTAAGTGTGCCTCTCGTTCTTTTTTGCCTTGTTGTCTACAGAAACTGACACACTGACCATGCAAGCACTTTCAATTCTCCTCCACATGTATGCCTGGTTAGGCATATGCTTGGAGCAAAGAAATATATATATATAGACAAAAAACGCAAGAGTTAACTCTGGTAAAACACAACAACACATCGAAAATCTTACACAACAATACTTAGGTTCAATTCCCAGGATTTCCCTTTTTATGCACATAGATGGAGGGGGAAAAAGCATGTGACTTTCTGTGCACAGGGATTATAGGTAACACGCAAATATTGTCCGCGCAGAGAAGGGAGGAACACATATTCTTGCCAAGGCCCTGCGTTCTTCAACTATTCTGACTTAATTGTTTAGTGTTTAAAAATGATTTCAGTTATCCTCAGTGGAAACAAACTACACAGTGGCCACTTGCGAACAAGAACCTTTCTGACAGTTTCATTGTGTATATTTAATTATCGGGACAATGGTAGGAATGTACATACTATTGCTTGATTCAGAGACTATTTTCTCTCGCACACTACAGTACTTTATAAACCCATGAACTTGGTCTGCACTCTGTACAACGTTTGGTAAAGAGCAGAGCAAAAAATGAAAGGAAGTACACATGCAAACACTCAGCACACTGCGCATGTGTGGTACAAGGGCTGGGCCATCAAATTGCTAGTAGCCCGCAAAGAGTCGGACGCAGACTAGCTAGACGCATGCGTGAGTCTATACATGCCCTTCGTTGTGACTTCGAGTGC